TCAAATAAATAAATAAAATCTTTAAAAAAAAATAAATAAATAAATAAAATTTTATATAACATTGTGTAGATACTAATGGATTGATAGTATACCAAACTATAAATATTACTGGCTTGAAAAACATGCCAATGTTATCTCAAGTTAAACAAAGAGACGATTACTGTTTGATAAGTAAAATCTCATAGGGAAAGAAAAGGTCTGCTAGAACAAGACATGTAGAATTATCACACTCATAAAATATACTAAGGTCTGACACACACCAGGTAGCTTCACTGAGACAAATACAAGTCAAATACAATGATATGCTCTAGGTTATTTCATCACATGAAAACCTTATTATACTAATTAACACTTAGAATAGGTTGTGGATATTTGAATCATAATTGAAACATTTCTCAAAGTGTATCAACATCCTCTTAGTTGTGAATAAGAGTGGCAGATTTCCCACAACTACACAAACATTAGACAGCTTCAGTATTTTTAATCTTTACTTTGAATTATTTTCTTTTGTTATTATTATACATGATTATTTTTACTATGTTCTGTTTCCATTACCCTTTTGGGTTTTATTACCTATTTCTTACCTGTTTCTAACAGCCTATTTATTCTTAAGGAAATTAAACTTTTGACTATCATGCACTGCAGGTATTTTAGTTTGTGTCTTGTATTATGGTAATACAAAAGATTTTAAGTTTTATTAGAAATAACAATATGCATTTTAACATATAAAGAAAAAATCTTTAAACTGTTCAATTACCTCCTATTTCATATTTCAACAGGTGACAGAACATTTAAAACAGAGATGGATATCCATTCTGACTGAAAATCTTGAGGGAAAAAATTCCATACCCCCAATCACATTGTATTTTAAGTTTTTGTTTGTTTTAAGCTCAAATTATCACTCTACCTTCATCAATATCTGGAGGAAGACCACCAACAAAAACTTTTCGAGAGAAGCGTTCTATTCGTTCTCCATTTTGATGAGCTGAGTAACATGTGGGTGAATTTAAAACACCAACTTGATCATTATGACCATCATCGAGCAGACCATCATCTATTGGAAAGAGGGAAGAACGACCTAAAATATAAGAACAAATATAACCTGAGTCTCAGATACAGGGAAATGCTAAAGTCAGGCACTAAAATAGCAATGACAAATTCAAAGGCTTAAAATAAGGTGACACAGGCATAAAAAAAATAAGGGAAATTCAGACAGTTTAAGGTTTTAATTACCTGGATTCAAAAGAGAAGCAGTCTGAAGAATGACTCAGAAATAAACGTAGTCATATGACAACAATTATACTGCAAACACTAGATCACTTCAATTTTTTATGGAAAGCAGCAAGAATCTGATGTATGGGGACAGTTTAAACTGGATGTGTTACAGGAGAAACCTTTGAGAAACTGGTGGCAAAAGGGAAATGGCACAGACTAAATAGATAAGAGCACATAATAAAAAGCCACTTGCAGACCACAGTAAGTAAGGACAAAGGCAACAAGTAAGACTTGCATATAAGGTTTTGAATTAATTGATTACATATGTGACAATTATATAAGAGGGTAGACAGGGCTTCTGCACATGTGCAAAACAGAAAAAGGCATCCCCTCTAGGGCTTTGGTCCCCATCTAAGCCCACCATTCAGGGGGTACACCCTTTGTACAGGGCACGTCCTGTATAATTCTCTGCAGCAATCCTGATGCTAAGACTCCATGGGATTCTAAAAAATAAAATGACCTAATAAAATATAGTCCCCTGTTCTCAGGGATGTACATTTAGAAAAGATAAGATCTATACATGTAACTATTGCACATATCCATAAGAAAGCTTCAAAGTACTTCAGAGGAAGTTTGTTGGAGGAAGGGAGTAGTCTGCCTAATAAATGGGTAATTTCTTAAATCCTCAAGTGAAACTGAATGGCAATTGTGGTAAAAAGGGAAAGCTAGTGGTATTTACTCGGTGCATTAGAAACGTTAGAACATGGTTTTGATATCTTCTGCCCACTTTTTGACTTGATTATTTGTTTTTTGGGTGTTGAGTTTGAGGAGTTCTTTATAGATCTTGGATACCAGCCCTTTATCTGTAGTGTCATTTGCAAATATCGTCTCCCATTAAGGAGGGCACGTACTGCTTGGAGCACTGGGTGTTATAGGAAAACAATGGATAGTGGATCACCACATCAAAAACCAATGATGTATTGTATGGTGACTAACATAACATAATAAAATTAAAAAAAATTAAAAAAAAGAAAAGAACATGGTTTTGAGTAAATTTTCCAAGTGGAAGGAGAAACTAAAAGAGGAAAATATGAATCTATTTAAGAAATAGGGAGGAGTCAAAATTAACTACTACATGTTGGAAATAAGGAGATTACAAGTAATAAAATAGCTTTGAGGCTGGTCAGAATACTTAGCCTTGAATGCCAGTGCTAAAGGAGATGTTTTCTTTAGTATGTGATTAAAATAAACAAAAAAATGGATATGCGGGCTCAAGCAAGATAATTTTACTGGTGCTTTGGGAATACATATAGCAAATGTGGTTAAAGTGATTAGAAATGAGCAGATCAGGAAGGATGAACAGAGGAGATAACTACAGCAGTAAAGAGTAGATATCTGGGAAACAAAACAGAAAAATGGAAAGGAGAAACTAAAAGAAAGCATTAGAACATGAATAATAAGAATCATTAACTAAATATAAGGACAATAAAGACAAAAACTGGTATAAGAAAGGGTAGATATGGAAGGAAACAATCAACAAAATTAAAAGGTAACCTTTGGAATGGGAGAAGACATTTGCAAATGTCACTGACATATCTTTTTTTTTTTTTTAAGATTTTATTTATTTGACAGAGACACAGTCAGAGATGGAACACAAGCAGGGGAAGTGGGAGAGGGAGAAGCAGGCTTCCCGCTGAGCAGAGAGCCCGATGCGGGGCTCGATCCCAGGACCCTGGGATCATGACCTGAGCCGAAGGCAGACGCTTAATGAATGAGCCACCCAGGCACCCCAGACACTGACATATCTGTTAAAAAAACTGGCAGAAGACCTGAACAGACATTTTACCAAAGAAGACATACAGTTGGCTAACAGACACATGAGAAATTATTCATCATCACTCATCATCAGGGAAATGCAAATCAAAACTACCATGAGATTATCACTCACACCAGTCAGAATGGCTAATCAACAACTCAAGAAACAACAGGTTTCGGCAAGGATGCAGAGAAAGGGGAACCCTCTTACACTGTTGGTGGGAATGCAAGCTGGTGCAGCCACTCTGGAAAACAGTATGGAGGTTCCTCAAAAAGTTGAAAATAGAGCTACCATATGACCTAGCAATTGTACTACCAGGTATTTGCCCAAAGGATAAAAAACACTGATTCAAAGGGATACATGCACCCTGATGTTTATAGAATTATCAATAATAGCCAAATCATGGAAAAAGCTCAAACGTCCGTCGACTGATGAATGGATAAAGATGTGGTATATATATGTACAATGGAATATTACTCAGCCATCAAAAAGAATGAAATCTTGCCATTTGCAACAATGTGGATGGAGCTAGAGAGTATTATGCTAAGCAAAATAAGTCAAAGACAAATACCATATGATTTCACTCATATGTGGAATTTAATAAACAAAACAGATGAACCCGGGGTGGGGGCAGTGGCAGGGAAAGAGAGGCAAACCAGGAAACAGACTCTTAACTACAGAGAACAAACTGAAAGTCGATGGAGGGGAGGTGGGCAGGGTGAAATAGGTGATGGGGATTAAGGAGTGCACTTACTGTGATGAGCACTCAGTGTTGTATGTAAGTGTTGAATCACTAAATTCTACACCTGAAACCAATCTTACACTGTATGGTAAGAAACTGGAATTTAAATAAAACCTTGAAAGAAAAAAAAAAGAAGGGTAGGTATGTGAAGCTGCATAGACTGAGAGGATATTCAGAATTAAATATAAGATAGGGGGTTGCAAATGGTGTGGAGAAAGGAAATAAGCCCCATTTTTTATTTTATTTTATTTTATGAGACAGAGAATGAGAGACAGAGAGCATGAGAGGGAGGAGGGTCAGAGGGAGAAGCAGACTCCCCGCCGAGTAGGGAGCCCGATGTGGGACTCGATCCCGGGACTCCAGGATCATGACCTGAGCCGAAGGCAGTCGCTTAACCAACTGAGCCACCCAGGCGCCCAAGCCACATTTTTTAGAAGAGAGTCAACTTTACAGAAATGACACTTGAAGGTTCTTTGTAGTATCACTAGACAACTCCAGAGAGAAATGATGAGGTAGTTCCTTGAGAAACTTAAAAGGTAGTAATGGAACATTCAAGGAGCTCAAGAAAGGAGTGGTAAGAAAAGTATGAGGGAAGTCAAAATATTATTGTAACACAGTGCCAAAGAAAAATGTGATAAAAGTAAAAACAAACAAACAAAAAAAGGAGCCATGAAGTAACAGTGTGAGATGTTAAGATAATCATTTTAAAAAATGACAACTGTATTCAAGGACATGCATGATCTTAAGCAATTTTAATAAAGTTGGATGGGAGCCATGCTATGTACTGTAGAGTTTTATAAAGACATCAAAAGAAGATGATTCTTTAGAAGTTTATTAGAGAAGGAAAAAGAGAAAATAAGAATGCAGAGAAATTGTTTTTCTTTCAAGATGGAATGAAAGGTTTTTTTTTTTGGATGAGGAGACTATGAACAGAATCTATAGCATGTGCCTTAACATGTACAAGTAATATTCAACATTAAAATGTCATTAATACATCATCTTGAAAAATATAACACATAATGATACAAGTGATATAAACAAAGACAATGTGAAATGTGATGGCCTGTGGAGAACTGGGGTTGGGATGAGAAGGAAGGGGGTTATATGTTTGTACTGTAGTTAGCTGGGTGCTGGAAGTAAGAATCTGAAGTTTCTAACACCAAAAACAGGGAGGAAGATCCTGTTTGTATAGGAATAAGGAATTATTATACAGATTCAAATTCAATTTAAATAAGATGTTCTGAAAGATGTCCTTGTTCACTGAGTTAACTTTGTGAATATTAATTTAACTTTTCCAATACCTTTGCTATCAGAAATAAGGACCAATGTAAAACAAATGTCAATAGTCTGTGTGAACAACAAAAGGAAAGCCCTTCAAAAGTATTTTATCTATTTCATTTAAGAAAATAAACCTCATCAAGATCCATTACAAATAATATTGTGAATAACTGGTTCAACTTCTAAGGTTGGACTTTAATAATTCTGTATTTTAAAAGGAGTAAGATGAAGCAGAGAATATGCATATTAACTAGTTTTTAGTAGAAAAATTACAAATCCAAATTTTATACTTATTTCAGACATGTCAATACATTTGAAATTATTTCACTTTAAAGTGCCCTAACACACATGTGAATTTAGCAGTTCCATGAATATAATAAACAAAGTCTTTCTAATAGATTTTTATCTTGAGCAAAAATACAGATCATATTTAGGTTCTAAATAGAAATACTAAATGGAGGACAAAGGAAATCACTACATAAGGAAGGTGACCCAAAAAGGGTTTAAACTTTTTGTGTTAACTATAATACTGTAAGCACATTCACAATATAACTACATTTTAACAATGATTCTATATTACTAACTATAATAGTTTTAACTATAACAAATAAATTATAGTAAATAAAATAACTATCAAAAATCTATAATCTATGTCTAAAATCTAGTAACCAAGGCTCAGCTGAACAAAGGATGTAATAGAAAGTCTAAGAAACATCACACACTGGCCATACTAACAATTTTCATTGCTAGGGGTGCCTGGGTGGCTCAGTCAGTTAAGCATCTACCTTCGACTCAGGTCATGATCCCAGGATCTTGGGATCGAGTCCTGCATCGGGCTCCCTGCTCAGTGGGGAGCCTGCTTCTCCCTCCCCCTGCCTGTGTGCTCACTCTCTCTCAGACAAATAAATAAATAAAATATTAAAAAAAAAATTTTCATTGCTAGAAAATCATGACCACTTTCAAGAAGCCATAAAAATTATGGAATTAAGTACTCATTTATAAGAGGAGTTAACCGAGTATACATCAA